TTTTTAAAAAGTACATTGAGGTATCACCTCACACTGGTCAGAATAACCATCATCAAAATGTCTACAAACAATAAATGCTGGAGAGGGTGTGAAGAAAAAGGAACCCTCCTATACAGTTCATGGGAATGTAAACTGGTACAACCATTACAGAGAATGGTATGGAGGTTCCTGAAAAAACTAAAAATAGAAGTACCATATGATCCAGCAATTCCTCTCCTGGGCATAAATCCAGAGAAAACCATAATTCGAAAAGATACATGCACCCCAATGTTCATACCAGCACTATTTACAATTGCCAAGACATGGAAACAACCTAAATGTCCATTGACAGAGGAATGGATAAGGAAGACGTGGTACATATATATAATGGACTATTACTCAGCCATTAAAAAAGAATGAAATAATGTCATCTGCAGCGACATGGATGGGCCTGGAGATCATCATACCAAGTGAAGTAAGTCAGACAGAGAAAGACAAATATCATGTGATATCACTTATATGTGGAATCTAAAAAAATATGATACAAATGAACTTATTTACAAAACAGAAACAGACTTACAGCCTTCAAAAACAAACTTACCGTTACCAAAGGGGAAAAGTGAGGGGAAGAGATAAATCAGGAGTTTGGGATTAACACATATACACTACTATATATAAAATAATCAACAAGGACCTACTACATAGCACAGGAAACTCTATTCAATAGTCTGTAATAACCTATATGGGAAAAGAATCTGAAAAAGAATGGATATATGTATATGTATAACTGAATCACTTTGCTGTACACCTGAAATTAGCACATTGTAAATCAACTATACTCTAATATAAAATAAAAATTAAATTAAAAGAAACCCAAGTGCCATGTGGGAAAAGACTGATACACTGATTTCATACAAATTGTAGCATTGCAAAAAAAAAAAACATAGCATAAACCAAATCATAAGATAATTGACAAACTAATAAAAAATGTTTTCTCCATACATAAAAGGCTTCCTTAATGCCTAAAGAGATCCTATAACACCTTTCTGATGTAGCATCATTCCTGTGGCCCCTTCTCTTTTCTGTATTTTTTGCCCTGTTTCCTGCTCCTCTCCCTGCTGAAAATGTCTATCCTATGTAAGTGTTCACACCAAGGACCAGGAACCTCATCAGCTCAAAGTGTGTTTGACTATTATCCACGCAGGCTACCAGTGTTTAGGAAAAAACTATGTGCGAGTGCATTCATGCATGTATGAACTGGAAGGTAAGGAGGCCTGATGGCCTAACCTGTTCCCATGCTAGAACTCAGCCCCAGCCTTCCTTGATATCCAGCTATTCCCCTCAACTAATTCCATAAGGTGCTTTCTCATCACCCCCAACCAAGCATATAGAGACTGGCCCATATATAATTTCTATATGTAAATCATCAGAACTCACTAAGATATTCTTACTCCCTTCTGTTTTTGCAGCTCAGCTTTGGCGTGGTATATATGTATTTGATAGAGGGGTTAGGAAGTTGGGAAAAAGAATTAGTAGAGTAGGAGCCCTGAATTTGGATCTGGGTCATGGAGATTCTAATCCAATTCAATCACCACCCTTAAATTGCTGGACGTCCTTGGGTAATCTGCTGTACATCTCAAGACCTCCGTTTCCTCACTTCTAAATGAGGGGGTTAGGCCTGCTGTTCTCTATGATCCTTTCTAGCTCAAACAAAAAATCCCTCTCCCACTGAGAATGTATGTTTCTTCCCTCAAACCCAGATTTGATTCTATCCTCTTAGGGTACCTTTACAATCCTTTCTTACCCATCCCAATAGCTCAGATATGCTACCGATGCGATTGTTAATCTGTCCTTATCTTGTAGACATTCTTCAGGCACTTATGCAGGTGCCCTGGATCTCCCCAACTAGTGTTTCCCATTGATTTAACCACCTGATCACCTCCTTTGGGGCTGTTGATATTGAGGTGTCTTGGACCCACATTCTCCCTAACGGCACTAAGGTGGTAGCTGAGAGGAAGTGAGTCTGGGGAGGAGGAGGCAGGCTGGAGCCCGTGTCTGGGGTCTGCACAGAGTGCCGAAGGAGGGGATGTGGAAAGAGGCGGCCGAGGACCTGAGTCTGGTTCCTGGGCAAATGAGAGAGCCAGGGGAGTCGAGGAGAGAGGGCTGGATTTGAGAGTTTGGGTTCTGTTGCCACTTCCTCAGACTGGCATGACCAAAAGGAAGTGTCTGGTAGTCAATGAATGTCATGGCTCAAGAGGGCAGCCACAGATGCAGGGAGCTCTATCCTGTGGGCCTAATTAGCTCAGATGTGTGTGTGTTTGCAGGTGGGGGTGGCAATGAGTGGAAATTAGCTGACCAAGCTGCAGAGGTGGCCAAAAAAGCAGCAAGTATGAACTTCCCTGGGATGGTCATCACTGGAGCACAAAGAGGAAGGACAGTCAGCTAAGGATTGTGCTGTATCTACACTACGAATGGGGAGATTTAAACAAAGATGGAGAGAGGAACAGCAGGGAGGTCCAAAAGTAAAAAAATACCTCAGTAGCCCTGAGTGTTCCTCATTTCTAAACTTAGCACAGTGAGTTCCAAGGAAAGCCAGATCTGGGGGATGTAAAGAAGGAGTAGGTGAAGAATAAAAGGAGCCAGTCCTTTATTTGTTTAGTCTTGCTTCCCCCAACTAGCAGTTTCTTGATTATGCATATGGATCATGTCTTCTTTGATTGTGCCTGACATTGGCTTGGGTACGTGATAGATCAAGACTACATGCCATCAGAAAGGGAGATAAAGAATTAATATTGTTAACATGGCCATACTGCCCAAAGCAATCTACAGATTTAATGTGATCCCTATCAAATTACCTATGACATTTTTCACAGAACTAGAACAAATAATCCTAAAATTTATATGAAACCATGAAAGACCTAGAATTGTCAAAGCAATAAAGCAGGAGGCATGATCCTCCCAGACTTCAGACAATACTACAAAGCTACAGTAATCAAAATGGCATGGTTTTGACACAAAAACAGACATATGGACCAATGGAACAGAATAGAGAGCCCAGAAATAAACACACCTATGGTCAACTAATCTTCAACAAAGGAGGAAAGAATATACAATGGAGAAAAGACGGTCTTCAAGTGTTGCTGGGAATGCTGGACAGCCATATATAATTCAGTGAAATTAGAACACTCCCTCACACCATACACAAAAATAAACTCAAAATGGCTTAAAGACTTAAGTATAAGACATGATACCATAAAACTCCTAGAAGAGAACATAGGCAATACATTCTCTGACATAAATCGTAGCAATGTTTTCTTAGGTCAATCTCCCAAAGTAATAGAAATAAAAGGAAAAATAAACAAATGGGACCTAACCAAACTTATAAGCTTTTACACAGCAAAGGAAACCATGAACAAAATGAAAAGACAACCTACAGAACGTGAGAAAATACTTACAAATGATGCAACCAACAAGGGCTTAATTTCCAAAATGTACAAACAGCTCATACAACTCAATAACAAAAAACCAAACAACCCAATCAAAAAATGGGCAGAAGACCTAAACAGACATTTATCCAAAGAATACATACAGATGGCCAAAAGGCACATGAAAAGAGGCTTGACATTGCTAATTATCAGAGAAATGCAAATCAAAACTACAATGAGCTATCCCTTTACAGCAGTCAGGATGGCCATCATTAAAAAGTCTACAAACAATAAATAAATGCTGGAGAGGGTGTGGAGAAAAGGGAACCCTCCTACACTTTTGGTGGGAACGTAAATTGGTGCAGCCACTACGGAGAACAGTGTCGAGTTTAGTTTTCCTTAAAAAAGGAAACTAAACAGTTTTAGTTTTCCTTAAAAAACTGAAAAAAGAACTACCTTATTATCCAGCAATCCCACTCCCGGGCATATATCCAGAAAAGACAGAAACTCTAATTCGATAAGATACTTGCACCCCAATGTTCATAGCAGCACTATTTACAATAGCCAAGACATGGAAGCAACCTAAATGTCTATTGACAGATGAATGGATAAAGAAGATGTGGTGTATATATACAATGGAATATTACTCAGCCATTAAAAAGAATGAAATAATGCCATTTGCAGCAACATGGATGGACCTGGAGATCATCATACTAAGTGGGGTAAGTCAGACAGAGAAAGACAAATACCATATGATATCACTTATATGTGGAATCTAAAGAAAATGATACAAATGAACTTATTTACCAAACAGAAACAGACTCATAGATGTAGAAAGCCAACTTATGGTTACCAAAGGGGAAAGGGGAGGGGGAGGGATAAATTAGGAGTTTGGAACTAGCAGATACAAACTACTATATATAAAATACATAAACAACAAGGACCTACTGTATAGCCAAAGGAACTATATTCAGTATCTTGTAATAAACTATAATGGAAAAGAATATGAAAAAGAATATATATATGTATAGCTGAATCACTTTGCTGTACACCAGAAACTAACACAGCATTGTAAATCAACTAAACTTCAATCTAAAGAAATAAATTTTCTGAGGCAAAAACAACCAAAAGAACCCAGATGAATGGATAAAGAAGCTGTAATACACACACATACACACACACACACACACACACACACACACACACACAATGGAATACTACTCAGCCATAAAAGAGAACAAAATTTTGCCATGTGCAGCAACACGGATGGACTTGGAGGGCATTATGCTAAGTGGCATAAATCAGACAGAGAAAGACAAATACTGTATGCTATCACTTATATGTGGAATCTAAAAAATACAAAAAACTAATGAATAAAACAAAAAAGCAGACTTGCAGATACAGAGAACAAACTAATACCAGTGAGGGGGAGGGTGTAGGGGTGGGGGAATGGGAAGTACAAACTACTGGGTGTAAGATAGGTTCAACGGTGTATTGTACAACATGGGGAATACAACCAATATTTTGTAATAACTGTAAATGGAAAGTAACCTTTAAAAACTGTATTAAAAGTTTAAAAAATAAATAAAAGAGTACCTGGACACAGTAGTCTGTTGGTTACCAACTTCAACTCTAGGTGTCCACCAGAGGGCGTCAGAACCCAGGACTATGGCGCTTCATCCTGAATAGCCCATGTTGATCCAGGGCTTGTAATCTCTGGACTCATCTGGCTCTTTCTCTAGCAGGGCAGAGGGGGCAGGGTGTGGGAGCAGCTGGCAGCACCTCCTCCCACTGCCCTAGTAAGGTTTTGAAAATGTTTGAACTGCCTGGGGGCATGTGAGCCCAGCCCCCGGAGCAGCTCTGGGGAGCTCTGACTTGCTTGATAAGGTGAAGGCACAGGTCTGTTCTTGGTCCTGGGAGGATGTGACCTGGGTTAGCAGGTAGCCCCACGCCAAATAATTCCTTCAGAAATCCCTCCCTTCACCTCCACTAAGGGGCAAATGGTCCATTCCTAAGAAATCTCTTGCCCTTTGTCATACTGGATCGTTTGCTCAGACACCAGACCTGACCCCACACCTCACTTCCCTCCCACCTCAGCTCAGGCACTGGGGGTACTCCAGGGAGCCAGCACCCACTGTTTCTGGTTGCACACTGGAATCACCAGGGGAGCTTTTAAAACCTATGGATGCTGAGCCCCACCCCAGAGATTCCAACTGAATTGTTCTGGGGTGGGACCTGGGCAGCAGTGTTTTTAAAAGCCTCCCATGTGATACTTATATACAGCATTATTGAGAATCTCTGGATTCAAGGCCTTGCTAACCAAGTGTAGGAGCTTGACAGAAATGTAGAATCACAGCATCCCCTTCCCAGCTTGCTGAATCAGAACCTGCCTTTCAACCAGATGCCTGGGTCATTCAGTGGCACACTGCAGCTTGAGAAGCACTGGTCGAGTCAGCATACTATTCTATTTCGTCCACGCTCATTCCCCAGACCTGAACCACAGCCTCCACAGCTTTCTCAAGTTGGAGCACTGGCCTTCAGAAGTCTTTGCCTCTGATCTGCAGAAAGAAACACATTTTATATCAAGATGTAGAGCACACCTGTGTATATATAATGAAACCATACCTTTACTATTGTTACCAAACCAAACTTCAGTCCATTTACTCGGGCACAGTAAAGCCAATCTGCTGACACCAGATTGTGGTGAAGGAAAGCAAAGCGTTTATTGCAGGGCACCAAGCAAGGAGTCCAGGCTGCTAGTGCTCCAAAGACCCAACTCCCTGATGGCTTTCAGGGAAAGGTTTTTAAAGACAGGGTGAGAGAAAAGGGTGGATGATCAGCTCGTGGACATTCTTCTGATTGGTCGGTGGTGAGATAATTGAGAGTCAACATCATCAACCTCCTGATTCCAACTGGTCTGGGGTCCACATGCTTGTGGGCAGCATGCAGTCAACTTCTTCCAACTCGTGGGGGTTTTAGTAGCTGTCAAACAGCTCAAAGGATATGATCCAGTATATTATCTATAGCCCTTGAGGAGGAACTAACAGTCCTTGACTTTGTTTAATGACTGAACTATTATTATTCTGTCTTGCTTGGCTGTTTTCCTTTCTTTCCGCATTTTCTTACTTCTCTGATTAAATTTATTCTTTGGAAGTTGGGGAAGGCCTAGGAGGCTAAAGTTTTTCTACAGACAAGAGGGAGGCAGAGGACTTGGTGGGTGGTAGGGTCTGTCCTGGGAAGGCCCCATAGGGTCCTGCTTGGTTACACTATCTGTGATGCAATCTCATCCATTCAATAGATGTTGCTGTGGCACCTACTGTATACTTGGCATTGTTCTAGGTGCCCGTGCCAGTCTTATCCCCAGACAAAACTTCCTGTCATTGTGGAGTTTATGTTGGTGGGCGGAGGCCAGGGAGGGTTGTCAGAAAGTTTAAAGTAAATCATAAATATGAAGGACATGCTTGAAGATTATAGTTTCTTTTACAACTTACATTTGGGGGGACTTCCGGATCCTGATTATGGTGTTTCTTGATCTCGGTGCTGGGTATATTCACTTTGTAAAATGCCCAAGTCTTTGCACTTCTCTGGATGCATGTTATACTTCAATGAAAAGTTCAGAAAATTATATTCTGATATTTTCTATTACTGTCCTCTTTCATTAAAAAAAAAAAAGCCAGGGCTTCCCTGGTGGCGCAGTAGCTGAGAGTCCGCCTGCCAATGCAAGGGACATGGGTTCGTGCCCCGGTCTGGGAAGATCCCACATGCTGCGGAGTGGCTAGGCCCGTGAGCCATGGCCGCTGAGCCTGTGCGTCCGGAGACTGTGCTCCGCAGTGGAAGGGGCCACAGCAGTGACAGGCCCGTGTACCGCAAAAAAAAAAAAAAAAAGAAAAGAAAAAGCCAGTTAAGGGACTTCCCTGGTGGCGCAGTGATAAAGAATCCACCTGCTAATGCAGGGGACATGGGTTAAAGCCCAGTCTGGGAAGATCCCCCATGCCGTGGAGCAACTAAGCCCATGTGCCACAACTACTGAGCCTGTGCTCTAGAGCCCACAAGCCACAACTACTGAGCCCATGTGCCACAACTACTGAGCCCATGTGCCACAACTACTGAAGCCCACGTGCCTAGAGCCCATGCTCTGCAACAAGAGAAGCCACTGCAATGAAAAGCCCATTCACTGCAACTAGAGAAAGCCCGCATGCAGCAATGAAGACCCAACGCAGCCAAAAAAAAAAAAAAGCCAGTTAAAATTCACTAAATTCAGTGCACCTCCAGCTAATAGTTTGCAAGAGTAGTTTAAAAAACATTGCTCTATTTTAAAAAACAAAACAGAACCCAAAAAACCTTCAGCCCAACCACTCCGCAGTATCAACACTCTTGGCCTAGCACCTGCTTACAGGTATGAGCCAGGCTGCCTTCACCACCCGCTGCGGCCTTCCTTGCCCTCCTGCTTACCCCAAACATGCAACCATCTCACAGTGGAGATTCTTCAAGGCACTGCCACAAGCCTCCCTCAAGCAGCTTGGGCTGCCTCTGCTTAGAACTAGACCTGACAAGCCCTTCTCCCTGCAGAATCACTCTCCTGTGGGCAGCTCTTTTCAAGCTTCAGATCTGGGAAGAGACTGGCACAGGCACATTGGAGGGTTGGGGTTATCCCCCCAGCCTCCTGAATCTCCTAAGCCTTGTGTTTCTAGCCTGTGTCTCATTTCCTCCATTGTGCTGTCAGTCCCCTTGGGAGACAGCAGTCTCCTCAGCTACCAGTACCAGAGTCAAACACAATGAAGAGAAGGAGACATGCTCCAAGACAACTTCCATCACAGCCCCAGTGCTCAATGTGGTGGTGGGGACAGTCCAGGAGCTGAGATGGCAGGATGGGGGAAGGGAGCAGGAGACCTCTTTTCTGTGAGCCTAAAGCTCCAGATAACCCTGCACTAGGGATGTTGGAGGCATGGGTCTGGCTCTTGAGAGCAACTGGAAGGGAGATGGGAGAATGCGGAGCTGGGCTTCCCTAAGAGAATCACCCAGCAGAACAATCCAGCATGTAGGTGCTTTGACCCTTTGCCTTGTTTGATTTAGAGCTTGATTTACCAGCAGAGAAACTTGCTCCAAATCAGTTGTTTGCATCTATTGATCCCCAAAATCTGGTCAGATGGATGCCAAAAATCTTGGCTCTCTGTGCACCAATGCCAAACAGAAATACAGAGTTTTGGAGGAACAAGAAAAATGGCTTTAATCTTTGTCTGGCAAAGGGGAAAACACAGCAGGCTAGCACCTCAAGAACTGTACCCCCCCTTCCCGGGGAATCAGACAAGATCTTATAGGTGGGGCTCACAGTCCAGGGTATATGATAAGGATCAAAATTGTGAAGGTCTTGCATTCTTCTTGCATTATTTCAAAACAGTCACAGCTGGTGTCAGGCAGCTGGGTAACTGGGTCCAGCAGCCCAGTACTTGAGCCTGTTTGTCTCTGGCTTATCTTTTTTTCTGAAATGCAAAAGGCTACAAGGGGTGATTTGTTATAAGGGAGTGCAGGGTAGTAGGGCATGATGTAATTTACATAGAGTTAGGGGGTATTACCATGCAGGATGTAATTCACATAGTGTCAGGGAGTAATAGGTTAGCTTTGTGAAGGACAAATCTAGTTACAGACACTACAGATTAGCAACAAAGCTAGGAGTGATTAACCCTTTCCATCCCATTTGTTTCTTCCCTAGCCTGTACACTGTTCCCTTTACTTTCCTTGTTCTCAGGAGAGGAAAAACTTCATTTCTATTTTTGTTGCAACAAATTCCCCAGTGCTAGTTCATTCCGTCCATATTAATGGAGGAAGGGAAACGGGCGTCATTCTTGTCTGGCTGAGGACAAAACTTCAGTTTTGCTCCACTTGACAATCACCAGCTGTCCAGCCCAGGGGCCCATCTACTACTTTAAAACCTGATGCTTCCCAAAGCTCCTGGGTATGGTGTTGATTTGTTGTGCCTTATTGGTTCAGAGCAGACTTGGGAGTCAGAAAAGTGGATTTGAATTCTGGCTTCACTACTACCAGCTGTTACTTAATCGTGTAGAGCCTCAGTTCTATCACCTGTGGAGTATTGCCTGCCCTAGACCCTGTCTCAGCCCAGGTGGGGTGCATTCAACTTCCTGCTCAGTGGCCCTGGCTGCATGGTGAAGGGCAACCCCCTTACACACACTGTTATCGAATGATTTAGTAGAAAGTTGCCCTGCTCACCTCACAGGGAAAGACGCCATGACCCAAATCCACCCAGTCCAGCCCCCCCATAGCTGTCTAGAACCCGCCCCCTTCTCATTGTCCTACTGTCCTCAGGCCAGAGCCCTTGGGCCCAATGCTGGAAAATAAGAGTGCAGGAGTCACCCTTACACAGTTCTCTGATGTCTGATCCCTGGGACAATTCTGTCTGGAGTTGTTTTATTATTAAACGCATCTTATAGATGAGGTACAGTCAGAAACGGCCAACTTGCCCTAGCTTTTGGGTTCCAAGCTTGGCAGCCCAAGGCTGCCTCCAGCTGTGCTAGGATCTGGGTCTGTAGGTTGCACTATCACTGGGAGAAGGAGCTCTGAATTTTCTCCTCCTTTCGGGGTACAGACCCAAGAGGGAGCAGTGCAAGAGGGAGGAAGACTCCCTTTGCCTGGGACTCTTTCTGCCTGTATTCCCAGCAGGAAGTGTCACAGGCCTAAGCCCGGCTCTCCCTTGGCCCCAGGGAAAAGGTGGAGGCAGCCCAGGTTCATAGGTCTCTGGGCTGTTGCTGAAAGATTAAGACTAGAGTCCCTCTCTGCAGTCAAACACTCACTGGATCGGGACCTTGGAAACTTTCCGGTCCAATCTCCTCTTCATTTTAGAAACGAAGCAACTGAGGCCAGAGGTAAGTGTTTTTTTTACACTCATAAGTCAGGAGCAGCTGAACTGCTACTTAGAATTCGAGACTCCTATTTCAGCGCTCCTCCATTGGGCCCTGTTGACTACACCGTCTCAGTGTGCACTCCCTACCTTCTGCTTCACCTCTTCTCCCTCTGGCTCCACAGGAAGGCGCAAGCAGGGCTTCTGGTGGGATGAAGAAGGGGGAGCAGTAGGGGCTCTGAAGGAAGGAGAAGTAAGTGGGACATGGCCCCTTAAGGCCCCGCCCGGCCCCCAACCCGGCCAGGCTCCGCCCCGCTTGGGCAGCGCAGGCGCAGGCTGGCTCCAGGAACCCCCGGCGGGCGCTCTTGGTTCTCGGGCCGGGGCGTGGGGCCGCAGCACCTGCGGGGGCCTGCGCAGGGCCCGGCGCCCGGCGGGCGGACGTCGACGCCCAGGAGCGAGGGCTGGGAGCCGGGACCGGGACGTGGGGGCGGAGCGGGAGGGGACGCGACCCGCAGCCCCCTCTCCCGGGGGACGGGGCGGAAGGAACCGGGTAGGGGGCGGTGTGAGCGGGCGGCGAGGGCAGCACCATCTGGAGGGGCGGGACCGCGAGGCCTCTGGTGGGCAAGAGAGTGCGTTGGGCAGTGCCGGCTGGGGGCCCTAGGCCGGGAGCGCAGGAGGAGCGCGGCGGGCTCTGCCCAGCGCTGCAGGAGCAGCATCCGCAGCGGATCGGGGTTCTCAGCTGGGGCCCGCAGCAGCTCCGCGGGCTGAAGCTCGGCGTGGAGGAGCAGGGGGGCGTGGGTCCGGCCGTGCAGGAGGAGGGCGGGGTGGGCCCGGGGGTGCAGGAGCGGGGCGGCCGGGGCCGCGAGCCTAGCCTGGGGGTGGTGTGGGGGCCTGCGGACAGCGCGGACTGGAGGCGCCCGCCGCCGTGGACGGGCTCCGCGGGCTGGCCTGTGGTGCAGGAGGAGGGGCTGGGCCCCCGCAAGCAGTACCAGGAGAAAGGGGGAGGCAGCCCCGCAGTGCAGGAACGGGGGGAGGCTCGCACCGGGGTGCAGGAGCAGGGGGAGGGGAGCCCACACAGGCTGCTACAGCAGCCCGAGCAGCTGTCCGAGCTCGGGGACGGCCTCTGGGAGAGCAGAGACGAGCTCGAAAGTTCCGAGGAGCGGGGGGAGCAGTACTGGGAGAGCTGCGGGCACCTCAGAGGGGAGGCAGAGGTCCTGGGAGTGGCCCCGGCACGCCGCAAGAGACTCGAAGTGGTGGGGAGGGCCCGGCCAGTGGGGCCCCAGGGGCCTGAGGGAGAGGGGCGCCTGGGGGTGCAGGAAGCAAATTGGCTACCCGGGGTGCAGGAAGGGCAGGTTGTGCGGGCTGTCCAGGAAACATACCTGGACGGGAAAGGGTCCCAGGAGGGAGACGGACCCCTGGAGGGACACAGGATCCGGAGGCGCAGGCGGAGGAGGAGGTGGTAACTCACAGGCCGGCTGCTCAGCATCAGCATCGGGCCGAGCCAGGGCCGTGGTGAGAGCAGGATGTAGGGGTTTGGGGAGTGGGGGGCAGAAGAGCGCCGTGAACCTGGGAGCGTTGGAAACCACTGCCCAATAGCAGGCAGTGTCCTGCTGGGTCCTTTTCTGCCACCTCAGCCGGGACATCATAGAAGCTTTGTCTGCAGAGAGCCAGTGGAAGGCAGCAGGTAAGGAAGCCCAACTCTGTTCTCAGCTGGAATTGGTGTGTTTGGAAGGAGGGGGCTGCAGTTATCTCAGGAGAGCGTGGTCTCCAAACTGCCTTTTTTCATTCCCCTGTGTTTAAACCTGGAGAGGAATGAAGCAGTGCAGTGTTCAACAGCGAGACAGGATCCCTCCCCCCAGTACTGTATATGCCAACTGGAGTGTTGGGATATTTCCTTAGAGTCTAGACTGGCGGTGAGACTGTCTGGGTGGCTGCCAGGCCTGGGCAGAAGGGAGAGAGGGGTAGTCCCAGGCTGAGGTTGCAGAGGAAGTAGTCATCTCTCCACCCCTCCACCCCCCGCTTCACTCGTTTACCGGTGGAGATAGGGGTGCCTCCATGCCATCGCTGGGTTGGTGCAATCAGCACACGCTGCTTCACGTCCTCTAAACACGTTCCAAAAAAGGGAAGGGGCAGCATTGCATTAACAGGACCTTATCTTGTAACCCTCTTGGCCACGTGAGCTGAGATGTCAGCGTGGCAGCCGGTAACTTGGGCACGAGCCTGGCCTGCTCCTGCCACACCTTCTTGTCACATTTGATTAATACTGAGAGCCCAGAGCCAAGGATAAATAGTGGGCAGAAGGGTGGAGAGCTGGTGAGGACTTCTGTCTCCATGTGGGCTCTCAGGACCCCAACCTGAAAGTGTGGGATAGGAGAGGTCATCTGCACTGCTGGACTCTGGGCATCCTCGGTGGCCCAGACCTCAGCCCCACCCCATGGAGGTGGACAGATGGGCAGCTGTGGCATCATGGGTTCTGTACCAGCCAGGGCCAGCTCTCAGCCCAGCTTAGAGGTGGGACTTGCAGAGGTGGGGGCTAGATTTGGCTTCCTGTTGACTTCCTCATGGCCTCGGTGCCAGGCCTATTCATTCCTGCCCCACAGGGGCTTGGTTGGCCACTTGTGGGCCTCATCTGCCTAGGGACGTTCACCTCTTACCTGGCGCTGTCTGGGTTCTTGCTTCTCTCGTCCTCGGGTGGGGGTGGGTACAGAGTTGCTGCCTGTCTCGGGGCCTTAGCCAAGACCCATCTCTGCCCTACCCCAAGGAGTGGCTCTGAGTCAGATGGCCCCCAGACCCCTATCCCAACCGGACTGGGTGGAGATAGTCCTTTTCTGTTGGGGCAGGGGGAGTGGCGGTCACGTCCTAAGCAGGCAGCTGCTGGGACTCTGCTGGAGGAGCCAGTTAGCCTGCTCCCCATGCAGACCCAGACTTGACTGTCAGCTTCGTCCCATGCCTGCCTGTCATCCTGCCACCCCAAACACTCATGCACCGGAAGTTCAGCTGCTGTGTCCAAGGTGTCTGGCTCTTCTGGGACGGCCAGACTGGTTCTTGCGCTCTGGCTTCAATGGAGAGAACTGTTCTAAACGTGTGCACGTAAGCATACATGTTCACCCTGTTTCAGGTTGATTCTTGAATTTGTGGTAGATGAAGAGAAAGAGGACTTTGGCAGATCTGGGTTTACTAGCTGTGTAACTAGGATAACATTTCTGGGCTTCAGTTCCTTGTCTGTGAGGCGGGCTCTGGTTTTCCCTACAGTGTCCTGAGTGCAGGGGGCTCAGACCCTTCTTTGCCAGCCTAGCATCCACCTTCCCAGGAGCCGTGGCCAGTGGACATTAGGCAGGAGGGGTTAGCACTACCAGACCTTTTCCTCTAGCCCCTGAGCCCACAATTATCCCCCTGCCCTGTGCTTTATCCTGGAAGATGAAGTGTTTGTTTTTAATAATAGCTTTATTGAGGTATAATGACATATGGTAAATGGCACATATTTAAAACATAATTTAATAAGTTTTAACATATGTGTATACCTGTGAAACCACCACCACAATCAAGATAATGAACATACCCGTTATTCCCAAACTCCCAAAAGTTTTTTGTGCCCCTTTGTAATCCCTCCATCCCACCCCTCCTTTGCCATCCCCCTTCCCCAGGTAACAATAGTCTGCTTTCTGTCACTATACATTAGTTCGCATTACCTAAAATTTATGTAAATGGAATCATACAGTATGTGCTCTTTTTTTTTTTTGGCCTGGCTTTTTTCACTCAGCATAATTATTTTGAGATTCATCCATGTTTTTGTGGGTGTCAATGGCTTATTCCTTTTTATTGCCGAGTAGTATACCACAGTCTGTTTATCCATTTACCTCCTGATGGGTTGTTTTCAGTTTTTGGTTATTACAAGTAAAACTGCTATGAACATATGTGTAAGTCTTTGTACGGACATATGCTTTTTTTATCTTGGGTAAATCCTTAGGACTGGAATAGTTGGATCATATGGTAGGTATACATTTAATTTTTAACAAACCGCCAGACTGTTTTCCAAAGTGGTTGTACCATTTTATGTACCCACCAGCTGTGTATGAAAGTTCTAGTTTGTTCACTACTTTGTCAGCACTTGGTATGATCAGTCTCTTTAAATTTAGACATACTAATAGGTCTGTAATGGTATCTCATTTTGGTTTTAATTTACATTTCTCTAATGACGAATGTTGAGCATCTTTTCATCTTATTTGCCATCTGTATATCTTTGGGGATGTGTCTGTTCAAATTGTTTACCCATTTATTAATTGTGTGTGGGTTTTTTTTGTACTAAGTTTTGGGAGCTTCTTTTATATTCTGGATTCAAGCCTTTTATGGGATATGTGATTTGCAAGTATTTTCTTCCAGGCTCTAGCTTGCACTTTAATTCTCCTGCGGTACGCGGGCCTCTCACTGTTGCGGCCTCTCCCATTGCGGAGCACAGGCTCCAGATGCGCAGGCTCAGTGGCCATGGCTCATGGGCCCAGCCGCTCCGCGGCATGTGGGATCTTCCCGGACTGGGGCACGAACCCGTGTCCCCTGCATCGGCAGACGGACGCTCAACCACTGCGCCACCAGGGAAGCCTTTGGGTGGTTCTTTTCCCCAGCCTTGGGTAGTTCCCATACATTCATGTGACGATCAGTACTCAGCTTACTGCTCAAGGGGGGCCTTTTACAGACTTCTGTGGTGCTCTCTCTTCTGTGATGCTCTGTTCTGTGAATTCTGGCCACTTGAGTTTCCCCAGAGTCTCAGCTTCATCTCTTCAACTCAGAGAGTCCTTTGGGGTCCAGCTGGTCCCCTTCCCTTTTCTGTAGCCTGGAAACCCAACCATAGGGCTGACCTCCTTTGTTTCCTATCTCCTAGGTATCACTGACCTTTGCATCTTGATGTCTGGTGTCTTCAAAACCATTTTGTATATTTTGTCCATTTTTCTGTTGTTTCTGTCAGGAGGGTAAGTCTGATCCGTGTTATTCCATCTTGGCCAAAGATGAAGATTTTACTTTAATTCCCTCATTCCCACCCTGCTACTCATCCCATCTTCCAGCCCATCCACTCTGGGCGTATCTCATGTTTTCTTCAATCTACTGTTCATTGTTTATATTGTTATGGTGTAATAAACTGTGACTTTTCCTTTCCTGGGCACCTTTTTGTTCTTCCTGGAGTTGCTTTTTTTATTTGCTTAGTTTTCTATGTACTTTTCAATTAATTAAACTCTCCAGTAGCTGTATAAATTTCTCAGGGTGTCAATTCCATTAGATATTCTATCAAATTCACCTCTCTGAAG